TTGGGGGGGGGGGGAGTGATTTTCGAGAATTCCGATAACTTCTCGTAAGCAATCATGTGGAAATCACATGGTTCAAAAACAAACTTCAGGGGACGGATGAAAGGCATACAACTCAAACACGGCAAACTGTGACAGATTATTCTGTCTTCTTTTAACGCAAACCGAGGAAAAATGATAGAACGGGAGAAAACGATGAACAAAACGTACTGTTCAATAAAAGAACAAAATCACTAATCGCTTAACAGGGTATTACGTTGGTTTACAAGTCTGAAGCGGGACAATGCATTCTGCTAACAGAACGTTCTCTGTGTCAGGTTAAACAGAAAGAAAGAGAGAGATCTAGGGTAACACAAAGATACCGTGAGCGGGGGGCAGTAAAGTGATATATCACGTTATTTTGCACAATGCTCTGAATCCAGACTGTGTGCCAAACAAATCTCGACAGAACAACGTTTGTAGGAAAGAAATCGGTGCATGCACTGCACGAGTGTGAGATCCAATGTAACCGGATCATGTGGCAAATTAGGGCGTGAGCGAGGGAAAATGCATTTGGTAAGTTTGAAAGGAGCGGGCAAGAAACATCACGGTCTGATGAAAAGGTGTGGATTGGAATATAGATAAACAAGGCCTGTCTTTATGAGGAACTTTAACCGTGCTAAATTAAGTCGTGCAGTCAAGACAACAGACAGCAATAAACGCGAAAAGAACGGTAGAACATACGTACCTTGAGATGGGTTGACCATTGAGAAGTCCGACTCTGAAATGGATACAAAAGCTAGTTATTATCAAGATATAAAAAGGGGAGGGAGGGATGATGGTGCCAAAACAATGCTTCGTGGATAGTATGAAAAGTGCACCAAGTGGGAAACATCATATGAAATTGACAAAGACCCAAATGATAAGTGATCAGGACGAAACTGACTTCTAGATAGAAAAAGACAGGTATATACTCCTGTCAGGTTATACAGGGAATAACTTTGCATGGCTTTGGCTTTTGATAGTTCTGATTGTTGTATTTAGACTATGGGGAATACATAAGAGAGCATTCAGAAAACCTACAAAACAAGCAGGTAGAAAGTGTACAGATATACGAACGCCACTGTTTATGATACTCGTCCATCTAATCCGGAGTCTTCAATGAATGCATAAACTGATGACGAAACAACCATATGCTCGTGGACGCTATCGGCACTCTCACACTCGCTATTTGACATATTTTACCCGGAGGAATTTTAACGGGTGATGTACTAATAACCGAATGTGGAAAATATCTCGCATTTTGACTTATACGCACATGAAACAGTTAGAGTAATCAAGATTGTTTCTCGTCAGACACAACTCAGAGTACCTCTGCATATTGATACAAGCTGAACACTTATTGTAATTCAGCTTTCCAAACAAGTGACTGAGAATTTAGGGCACGACGTGCTTTGCGGTGGCCCACACCGACGAAAGGGCTTTTCATTGAGAACTCTGACAGTAGCCTTTAAATTAAAGGTGTAGACGAACCAACACGGGGATGTGATCGAAGCATCCATATCCAAACAAATTTACCGCTGTCGCAAATGAGGTCATTGTGACGAATATATATATATATATATATATATATATATATATATATACCAGCTAGCCTATTTGTCGATGATCAGGTATTTAAGGAAAGACAAATGATCAAAACGCATATGAGTTGCAAACGAGAGAAAAATACAAATAATAATCGATTGGGTTGAAGGTTATTCATTTGTGATTGGGTTGACAATTCAGATTCGGACGACTGTATTCGATTGAATCCATCCGACGGCGGTTGAAACGATCGACCGCACTCTGATCACGAGCTTCACGACTAATAAAGTGAGCAGCATAAGGAACGTGGGAATGGGAGGAAGCGAGATGACAGCGGACCAAATTGGGCAGGCAAATACACAGGCAAGCACGCACCAAGTAACGACTTAGACTCACGCACTTTGTGCCGAGCATTTTTGGAAATTTATCCGGGGCGCGTCGTTCCCGTAAAATGCGACGCGCACGACGTGATTTTCGACCCTGAGTAGAAAAAATAGAGAAGAGAGGGATGATGACACATAGGTCAGGGAAAGAATCCAGAGGCGAGGAAAATGATCACCTGACAGTTGCAAGCACACTCGTAATAACCCCTCATCAATATATAGAATTTATTATAAAAACACTGAAAATCCACCATGGAGTCTAGTTGGCTGAGGTTAGACGTATCTAATCTAAAACACTTAACACATAATCCCTGCCTTTGGTTTCAAATAGACTCCCCGAGCTGCAAATGAGATATGCGTTACCCAATTCACATCGGGAGTACCCGTATAAGAATGAATAGACGAGGGATTACCGGAAGCACAAAGATGACGAGCGACAAGGAGGGTGAAACTGGTGGTGCGAATCTGGGAAATTGTCGTCATGCATATACTACATCACAATATATAAGAATAAGTAGTATCCGAATGACCCGACAAAATTTCCCATAAGTACACGACCGGTTTCGCGTTCTATGCCGCTCGTCAGGTATGCGTATCTGGCAATCTTCTGTCCCGTCATTCTTATACTTGTACTCCTGATGTGAATTAGACAACTCGGTGAGAAAAACGAGCCTCAGTTCTATTATTTAAGAGAGACCCGTCCAAACAACGTGCCTCCATAACTGTGTGGGATGGAATCAAACAACAACGACGAATGATGCAGTCAGGCGCAGAAACCTTTGGGAGTGGTGAATATCAATGCGATCATCAATGAGGATGCGTTCGTACTAAAAAAATCCAGGCACAGTAAAAAGACGCATTTTGTTGTGATTCAAACCAGGTTTTATTTTTATTGAAGATTGGCCACTAACTTTCTTACGTTTTCTTTAAAATAAAATTTCATATTCGGTTGTTATACAGATACTTCGGGGGCGGTCATCTTTTCGCGGGGTACATGTTTCGTTGGTCCGGGTCCAGACTGTATGTAACACAATTCAGGGTACACCGTGTGTCCGACAATCAAGCTGACCGATTTGTGGATAAAATACTATTAGGTTATCAAATCCAAGCAAACTGATCTTCTAGAGAATTAACAACCGGAACGTTTGGCAAAACAAATCGTGGTTGTGAGTAATTGCTGTCATTCTGGAGCTGTTTTTGGATTAATGTTACAAGACAAAACGGAAAATTTGAGACCCCCCCCCGCCACCCCTAAATGGATGAACATGGAGACCGAAATGAAACAAAGGGATGGAGGAACGGGGACGGGGCAAACTATCACCCATTATCGCATCAAATGAGTATTGGGAGTGGTGGAAGAAGAGAATCCACAAAAGAGACAAAACGTACTGCCAACTGTAGTTTCTCTTCTTCGAGCGCTTTGGCCAGACGCAATTCGGTTTCCAATTGCTGATCTGCATCTAACAGACGCAAAAAATCGGTCGCATGCAAACCGAAACTGGCCGCTGATTTGGCCAACTGACGACGACCGTCCACACTGAGTGTGGCCAGATCCAGTTCCACATCTGCAAACAGTATATGTGAGCGAGGAGAAAGAATTTGGACAAAGAAAAATGGAGTACGAGTTGGGCACGTAAAATGAAACAAGTGGAAGGCCAATTTTTGGTGTTTATAAGTAGCAATCAAGGCTTAAACGATGGAAAAAACATCTTCACGCGCAATATCATCATGATCAAACCACGAAACACGGTGATGTGAACCTTACTGAGCGTTTCCAAGCATACAATACGCCCAAAATAGACACCGATGTGTGAGATGAACAAAGTGTGTGACAGACGGGATAAGAAAGTGAACCACCATGGTCAACACAGTCTAACGGTGCTCGCACATCTCTTCTGACCTGAGGGGAAATGACAACCAGAAAATCACTGCTTTCAGATCTCTGTCATTTCCTTGATAATCTCAAATCATCCCCGGTCTGGAAGATGAGAAATACCTATTGCAGCTAATTATTTCTGCATAACTCTTCACTCCTCACCCCACGTCATCCAATCCAACCCCTGTGATTTTCTACACTCATTCTGGCACAGCAACCAACATAGTGACAAGTGATTTAACATGTGCAATCTAGACACCTCAACTTGTTGTGACAATGAAATTTTCGGTCAACACAGTGGAGTTCTTTGGTTCCGGGGACACAATATGTCAGGAATACGCATAATAGCAAAATCGTTTGAATAAATTCTCAGCTGAAGAATCAGTTTTGTCACAGACTGGTTGATCGCAGTCAGCTCGGGAACGGTAAGAACGAAGTTTGGACCACTAAATCAAGAAGGCTGTTACTGTACGCCTTCGTGTAACCTTCTATCAATCCTTAAATACACTTGAACATATTTATGGTGATTTAAATGCGATGGAAATCTTTGTAATGACCGACAAAGAGCACTGGGAAGTTGTTTCGTCGTGTTTGGGACTCGTCAACAGTGCGTACTAGTTGTGTGCCTGTCAGGACTCGAGCCGTGAACCTTCTGGTCGGGACATCAAACCTTCGCCCCTGAGCTACATCGTTGACGGTCATCACCTTGTGCGAATGGCTCAATCAATTTAGACGAGGAGTATTTAGATAAACTCTTTCGTTTTTTCTACCAGGCATTATTGATGATGAGATTAAGGACGCCATTATGATAGCCTAGACACAAAACAACTTCGGCTTGGAGTGGGGTAGGAACATTTGTTCCGTTCGAGCATTGTGGTTTAGTAGTCTGAGGTCTAATTTTAAAGGATTCAGATACTATTTCAACATAGTACAACTTGGTTTTGATTGCGCAGAAAATGGGTGCTGCATAATATAAACGGTACACGAAGATTTTATTGATTCTCCTTAGACCCCGTCCAAAGGGCGTATGATCTTATGAACTGGACACCCGCCCCCAGTGGATTGCGGTTTGCTTTGTGGGTCAGGCTTTAGCTAATATATATATATATATATATATATATATATATATATATAAAGCAAATCGTCACCATGCATCAAAGAGATTGCACATTGGCATTTTGAAATGGCTACTGCTTGCCCAAGACCTAATGAAAGTTGTAGGTTTATGTTTTAGAAGGAATTTCCGACAAAATCGACCTCAGCTATTGGGTAGATACTTAGCCAAACTCGTCACCTTGGGGCTAAGTTCTTGTTGGAAATGGAGGTACCGGTGGAGGATCCTATAGGATAGCCATATTGTCTAGTGGTACCCGTCTAGAAATGGGACAACGCAAACGAACTGCTGGGAACATCCTTACAACGGGATGACCAGTGAGAGGTCAGGAACACGTACCGATATCCATGTCACTATCAGCCTTTTCATCTGAATCACTGTCCTCGGGAATTGCCGTGGCTCCTATTGTGGGGGCTAAAGCAGTCCCGGTCGGTGTTGACGGTGGATGGCTGTCCTCGTAAGTGAAACCAATTGCAGCCTTCGGTTCTTGCGATCTGGGGGGGAAGGTAAATGGAATGGAATTAAATAGTTAAATCTGAAATCACAGACCGCCTAAAGACCGATTTTAACAGGACACCGTAACTCAACATCTAGCAGGGCAGCGTTATTCGCAGACTATATCATCAATTGAAATGAAATTTCACAAAAGCTCGGGTGTGGTGAAAACAACCCTCTCTTTGAATCCATCACAAGTAAAAAAACAGAAACTTTTGTAAAAAGGTCCATTCGAACTATAGAAAACAGCTCGTGAAAGACCGACACAGATGCTTCC